TACCAAGTAGAAGAGGGTGTCGCCTCTAACGTGATCGTAAGCCGTGCTGATGGCAAACATCAAGCGTTCTGCATATGTTGTACCAATCTTTCTGATCTATGGCTACATACATCAAAGCCCTCGTCAACGTTTGTACCATTCGCCCCACAGTGCTGTTGGACTGCGGGCGGTACACCATGGTAGTGCGTTGTCTTTTCTCGCGATGTGGTTGAAGGCGCTGAAAAAGTACGACATGAAGCTTGGCTCTCAACAATGGTGTACCCCTTTCCTCGCGCCGGATCGGTGGAAACGCGCTCCTCGTTATTCTCGGTGATAGTCTGCGTGGTCCACGACGCGCTAGTTTTGGCCACATCACTGGTGAACAAATTCACCCATATTATCGTCCCGTATTGCCTTTGTGCGACTTCGGTAGAGACAAGATGTGGTCCATCGCCACGTCTTGGAATGGGAACGTCGCCGGTATGGCTTCTGAAAGTTCTTGGAGTGTTGGTCGTCGTTTCTTGCTGTTACAATCCTTGAGTTTTTCCACGTAGTGCTAGACACCCATAATAGACCACACCAGTGGAAGTGCGATCGAACACGCTGATTAGTGTTGGTATAGGTAATTACCGGTAATTACCCATTTTACCAGGGAAATGACCTACCGGCGGTAATTACCGAACTTACCAACCGGTAAGTGCTTACTCGACATTGAACTTTTCGACTAGAGAAAGCTCATTTTGACATTTCACGAAGTCGAACAATGGGGGGGGGGGGGGGGAAAGCGGCACGACATTTGGGCTCACTTTCGCGTCGCTAACCCAGTAGTGCGAGGTGAGAAGCAACATCCTGACGTGGAGTGCAAATACTGCGGCACAGTTATAAGGAATGCTCAAAGAAAGAAGAACCTCGCTGGGCACCTTCGCAACCAGAAGAAGTGTGGCAAGGTACCAGTAGAAGTGGTCAGGATCTTTGGTATTAGATCTCCAGCCAATCCTCGGACGCGACGCCAGCTATTTACTGGCGGTGGTGGAACCTCTACATTCGTGTCGACTCCAGATAGCCAATTTTTACAAGACGAACTCGAGCTGGCCTTCGCTGATATGTTCTATGCCACTGGAATACCATTTAGAATTGTGGAGGACCCTGCGGTGAAGCGTTTCTTTAAGAAAGCTTGTCCGGCATTTCAGTTACCGTCGCGGCATCGCATTGCAGGCCCCCTCTTAGAGACTACCTACAAAAAGCGCAAAGAGAAGATTGTTGAGCAGCTCAAGCAGCAACAGTACTTGGCTTTATCTACCGACGGCTGGTCGGATACAAACAACTCAAGTATAGTTAATTTCATGCTGGTCTCACCAACTATGAAGCCAGTGTTTTGGTCATCAATTGCCACTGGCGAAGAGGGACACTCGGGGAATATATTGCAGACTGCATTGATCGTGTCATTGACGAAGTGGAAGAAGCAATCGGTTCCAAGGGTGTTATTTGCGCTGTTGTCACAGACAACGCAAAAAACATGAAGTCGGCCTGGGAGAAAGTGAAGGCGAAGAGGCCCAATGTCTACTGCAACGGGTGTGCAGCACATGGTTTCAATTTGTTAATGAAGGACGTCATGAAGATTAGCCGCCTTGCTGATGTACGAGATGACTCCAAAAGTGTGGCTAAGTTTGTTCGTGCGAGACATGGATTGTTGAACCGCTTTCGCTCGCAGCAAAAAGCGATCATAAAAAAGAGTGATAAGAGAATGGCACTGAGTGTCCCCATTCCGACACGATGGTACACTGTCGAGAAATGTATTCGCAGTGTGTCCACAAACCAGTCTGTCCTTCGCTCCACCTTCGCGGACACTCAACTGCTTAAACGCTACAACACCAAGGCACAAAGACCCGAACTGGAACGTGTTTCGGCTATAATAGCGGACCAGGAAAGCTGGAATGAGTCTGAACGGACACTTGGTCTGTTGTCACCAATCAACAAAAGCCTAGCTGTCTGTGAAAGTGATGACACCTTTTTGTCATCTGTCTACTCAGAGTTCGTTGCACTCAAAGAGCATCCCGCCTACGTCGAACCCATGCGGGGAGTTAGCGCAGAAGAACGGGCGACATACACCGAGATTCAACGTGAGATCCTCGATTTGGTTGAAAACCGACACGAATTTATCATGTCCAGCTCGATGCGAGTCGCGTATTTACTCGACCAAACCACAGACATCACGAAATTTGCTACAACAAGTGACCCAAGAGAAGAAGGCGACCTTGCGTTAGCCATGAGGGGGCTTGTGGACATGGCAAAAGGTGCTGCGACGGATCCAGATACTGTGAAGAAGTATCAGGCTGCTGTTGAGGCATGGACTTGCCAGCGATTCTCATGGGCAGAAAGGGGTGTCGCTCCATCCACTATCCCGATGTCGCCTTTGAGTTTCTGGAAGATTCATGGCCGTGCTGCGTTTCCACTGCTGAAGCCAGTTGCCGATATGATGTTTGGAATCCCAACCTCATCTGCGGCAAGTGAGCGCAGTTGGAGCATTCACGACTTCATTCATTCAAAGCGAAGGAACAGATTGCATGCGTCGAGGGTGGAGAAGCTTGTATTCGTGTACTCCAACATCGTTTCTAGAACTGGCGAGCCAATTCGAGACCATTTAGCAGATGACATGTACCCGGACGCACATGACGGAGACATGGGAGAGCAGGACGACGAAGAAACCGAAGAAATGGACGATGAAGAAGAAACCAATGAGATCATGCAAGATATGTCTGGTGGTGGATGATCCGTCAAATAATGACACTTGACTTTCTTGCTTTTCCTGCTTGCCAACTTTCAGCAGCTCGTTTCCCCATGATCTACCTCGATACAGATGCCTGTCGTTCCGTGATCAATGTATTTTTCGGGTTGCCCGTAATGCCAAAGGTACAGCGAGTCGCGATCCACCCACTCCACCCACAGTGTCATGATGACTCCGTCATCTCATTCATCTTAGTCGAAGCCGCCATAGTACGCCTCAAATGGCGCCCACAGCCAAGTCGTATTCGGTAAACAGACTAATCGCCTAGTCCAGAGCCGTCTGCACACCGACAGTAGTGCTAGCTGGCAAACTCACCCTTCATCCTGTTTCAGTTCTTGTAGCCCGCCATTAGGCATCAAGTGGATCGTGATGACAGGGTTGGCGTTTTCCTTAGCCAGCTCGTAGAAGTGATCGTCATCAGGCTAGCAGACTGAAGCTCTGGCAGTTTCACGAGAATATGCAGCCGAACGAGCGAGTAATCAGGGCCTTGATGTTAGCGCCCTTTATGGCCTTCACAACCTGTTCACGGGAGAAACCCAACCACAGTGTGGTGGCGACCGCAACGTCATGGTCCAGCTTCACATTTTAGTAGAACTCCGGGCTCGCGTAGAAGTAGGTGATGCCTATGAATGTGGCAGCAACGCCGATGATGACGCTGCTGCTTCGCTCAAGACTTTCTCGGGCTCCATCAAGGGAGTCTTGGCGTTCGGTGCCAATATCGACACGGACACCATTATCCCCGGCAAGTTCTAATACGAGAACGAAGCACTTGACACGAGTTCCGAGGCCACCTCGGCAATCGCGATGGTGACGGCAAGCAGCTTGGGAACAGTCGAGTTGTACGTCTTCAGTTCGATGAGCTTCAGTAACGGACGCGCCTCAGTGATTTCTATCGTGAAAGTGGAAAGAGTACCGCCGCAACACGCCCTTAAACCAAAGGAATGGCCGGTCGCGCGCTCATTCACCGTCGACCACAAGCTGCTTGGTGATTATAGCGTCGGTGTGCGGAAGGTATCCATTCGCGCGCTCAGCACTTGAACACGAACGGAGCATTGAACTGCATGCCGAATGCCACAACCGCCGATGGCAATGTCTAAGAAGCTGGAATCGCAGCCACGGAGTGCTCACAACAGCTCCGTTGGCACTAGGCGACTTGCCCAGGACGACACTTTCATCATTATTCCGTAATACAGCAAAACACGACTTTATTCGCTTTGACCAGCAGCAAAGCTGCAGTGACGAACCGTTACTGAAGACTGAACGTGCTGTATCCACCGCCGGAAATTGATTCGCACGCTTGGGCAGGGCATGGGCATCTAATTGTAGCAACTTGAAAAGTTTAACTCCGTGTTCACCGACGTGGACTGAATTCAAATTAACCATCAAAACTACACGCCCAAAGAGCAGTCGACGACAAGTGGAGTGGGGGAAGACAATGGCAGCTTCAGCCGTTGTCACGTTAGCTCCCCTCCATGCATTCCAGTATATTTCCACATCTTCAAACTTAGCCACAAGTGAGAGCTCCAGCAAATATCTTCATGAAATTTTTCACATCTCAGCATCGAAAATCCCATAATTAAGCGATCGGTGAGAGCTTTCTCTCGAGTCATGAAGCTCTTTGAATCATCGCGAGCGTCACTGGTGTTTGATACTGACACCTGCAATCCTGCAAGCCAACTGGCGTACAGAATACCTCGTGTCAGCGCTCTCCTCAGGTATTCGACTATACAGAGCCTTAGATGCAGTAGCAACTCACCTGCCGCTGCCGCCGTCTCCACTGCCCCAGCTTCGACTGCGCCCGTCACAGCCAGCCCAAGGTCTGGTCTCATTACCCGATGGAGCCACGCAACATAGGGACGACAAGTGTGATAGTTCCAGTGCTTCCGATGAAGCCTCACGACACAGTTGTTGGGCGCGCCGTAACTAGGCTGTTGTTTGGGCGTAGATAAATGAAGTGTTAGGAAGCATGATATGATCTCGTAAGCAAGCTCGTACCAGGGGTCTCAACGCGCTGCGCAGGTTGTAGCCGATGAAGAAGCGCCGAAATGGTGCCGCCGACACGTAGGGCACTTTTCGCTTTAATGTAAAATTCAAATGTAAAATTTAACTTTCCCCCAATTTACCTTCGGTATTAACCACTGGTAATTACCACTATTTACCCCATTACCTAATTCCCCGGTAATTCCCCGGGTAAATTCCAACACTAACGCTGATACGTTTCGCTGAATTTTATTGTGTCCTTCTTCCATGCTAGTGTGATAATGATGCACACTGTCGTCTTGCAGGTCTTCCGGAACGACAATTTTCGCAATCAGAGCGCGCTCATCGTCACCTTACTTTGCGCTTGGACAGTAGATGAGCCACCCGCTCAGGCCGGCAACGTAATCATCTGTGGTCTTGCCGGAGGGCGTGATTCATCCGCATCAGCTTCGCCAGCTCAACTGACAGCTACATCTCAAGGTCCACGATCCACGTTTCCTCGTTCTGTACGTGCAATTTAGCTCCGCTCTCACTCGCATTACGACATCGTCTTGTAACACGTCGGGTGATCTAACTAAGCGCTGCTTCAATCTGATCAGCTACTTGGGTGACTGGTACTTCTCCCTTCGACAGTAGAATCTCTTGAAGCCAACTGAATACGACCAATTCCTCCCAGGATAAAAACATTCGATCGGTGCTGGTGTGACGTAGTGCTTGCTAATCGGTCTTCGTTCTGATTCCCATCTCGCTTGGTGGGCAAGATTTCGTGCGAAAGGCAACACCTTAGCCGATTCAATGCTCGCCTGTGTAGAGGCGTCAGACCGGACGCCTTGCATTCCATCGCTCCCAGCATCTGCCGGTTACCAAACTAATGTACCCGCAGATGATCAGCCGTCCCCTGTCCATAGCAGGCCCTGGCAGTCCGCCTTTTTTACAGTCAACCCATCCGAGAATTTTGACTAGGCCAAGAACACTATCCCCTCAGGTAACTTCCAAACAATGATGCTACATGCTCCTCCGCGACGATGAATGCTTGCCGAGCGATTGTAGCTCACGAATAACCGCTCTTTGGCTTGTCCGACCGTAGGAGGGAACCGCCGCAATAGCTTGACGTGGTTGCTTCTTTGATGCGATCGACATCAAGATTGAGTCTACCCTATCCCTTGGTGTGGTGCTCACTGTGATCGCACCAAGGATCTTGTCACCGCAACGAGTGTACTGACCTGTTGACCGTGCATAAGGCGGCAGGACCGCTGCTCAGTTGCCTAGCAGGGTTTGCGGGCCAGTTGTTTGGACTAGCCATGCCAGAATTGTGAGTCGAGTCAACACCTTGATCGACCCCGAGGTTAGCTTCGTAAAACACACGCCCACGATTCGGAGAAGAGCCAGGACTTCTTCCTCGACCGTGCCGTAGTTCAGGTCGTTTAACTTTTGGATCAGACTCGTGAAGGTGACGGGTATGTGTACACCGTCACGCCCTTGCACCAAGGCTGCCGAAATAACTCGTAACGTACAACTACTGGTGTCCAATCCGAGTCAGTATGTCGTAACAGTGGTGCGGCGGCGATCTTGTTCTTTAAACTTTAAACGTAGTACGGAACCAGTTCCACTTATCCCGTCGCTTGTAGCAACCGTTTGTCCCTAGTGATCAGGCTCCTTCGCATCCCTAGTCACATTGTTGATCTTCTGGTCCCACAGTTCATACCAGATCGATGCGTAGCTCGAAAATTTCGTGATGAATCGGCTGTATAGTTGAGGCTACCAAGGAAGGACTACATAGAGCGTAACTCGAACGGGAACGACAGCTATACCAGCGACGCTAGATCGTTCGGATTGGCCCCGAGGCTATCATCTGCCTTTCGGTGGCCAAAGTAATCCACTTTGCGACATCCCCACGAGCCCTTAACGTCACTGATCAACAGGTCCCACCGATCGCTGGTGTCCAGGAACTTGCCGTCTTCTCGCAGGTAGTCTCAGAAATCAACAGTCATCGGTTTATGTAGGATCATCGTCCTAGTGCCGGAGGCCCCAGATTGTCGTTTGACTTCCTAGCTGGAAGACGGCCATCGCTCCAGACTGGTCCTAGTCGTTCAGATTCCGCAGATAGCCATACAGGGCATTTCCAGGAGCCAGCGGTAAATCTGCGTCGCGTTCAGCAGCCCAAAGGTCATGAGAAACTATTCGAACAGCCCGAACGGTGTGGTGAAGGCTGAAACTAACGGCACTCCTCATTCATCTGAACAACAAAAAAATCCGCTCATATTGTCGAGAGAGCAACAACAGAGTACCTTGTCAAAATCATATAGCAGATCGTTTGGTCACAGGCTTGGGGTATAGCATGAGGTGCATCAAGCTGTTAACAAACCGGTAGTTGATGCAGAGCATGATGTCGACGCCATTCTTCTTGATTATGACCACGGTTCGTGACGCTCAACAAGAGGAAGACTCTAAAATGGTCTTCGCTGACAGTAGTCTATTGATCAGGTCTGACAGCTTCCCGCGAGACTGTGGCACAACCTCCCTCGCACGTTGACGCACCGGTTTGGCATCTCCAATGTCGACATTGCAAAAATGACTTGCACAGCTGGTGGCAATGCATTACGCTTGTCGAGTAGTAGATGCTGGCGGCTCTAGATGATCCGTCGCAGTCGATCGATGGCTACTGGAGTGTTATTCGCGTCATCGTCGATGTTGATGTCCTCCATCTACACTTCTTCCGTGATGGTCGTTACTTCAGAAAAGATCACCACATGATTCGCCAAGTCTTCGGCAAAGGGCTCGCCATCTTCGCTGGTGTGGACGTACCCGTCGTCCGTTGGTTGACTTGCTGGCGGTAAGCTTTCTGCTGGTTGAAACAGTTCAATCGAGGACGACTGCATTTCCTGTGGGTCAGCTGATTGTCGATCTGGAACGATCGCGTCTGTCGATGACACCACTAGGTTGCATTCTCCGTCGCCAGCAATATATACAGACTCACAATCGGGTCAGTCACTGACGTGAGCGAAGTCTCAACTGCGTTCTTCGAACAATATGCCTTCAAGCCTGTGCGAAGAGTCGTGTGAAACTT